ATATTTTGTTTGAGACTTTTGCCCCATCTTTATAATTAATTCCTTGCATTTTTAAAAATCTGGTTTAAATACTAAGAACTTCCGTAATGTCATCTTCCTCATGTGACGTGGCCAGATATTTCAACTTATTGTAGGGAAAAATTAAATCTTCATCCACCAGAAGAAGTCAATAATAGATAAATTAAAATTGATTAGCCACAAAATATCAATATAAGAATTACTGAAGAATAAGAAAGTAAATATGAGAAGAAACTTCCTACAAGATTGAAAAGAGTTGCCTCTAGAGAAAGGAGTGACAAAACTGGGAACTGCTTGATTTGCTTTCGTTTTATTTTGTTTTGTTTGTTAAAATAACCCTTTCAGTATTACTTTTCTTTTTTAAACCATGAATATGTATTACTTTGATAAAAACTAAGGAACACATTTAGGTCTCACAAAACTCAGAGACATTTCTGGTGCAGAATCTATTTTGAAATTTGTGACATCTTTCTTTCTTTTTTCTAGTGAACATATATTGCAGTCATGGCTTGTTTATCTAAGCTTTTTCCAACCAGTACATTTTGCTCTTCTCTGTCTCTGAACATGTGAAGCTTTTCCCCTCCACCTTATAACATCCCCCAAAACTAGATTTCTCCCAAGCAAATGTTGGAAGACATTTTTAACTACACTCCCCCACCACCACCACTATTAGAAAGCATCCAATGAAGTAATCCTTATAGTCATTTTCAGACTTGAAGGACTATATGAAGGACTTCTGGTCTGGTAACAGAATTCCATAGAGGTCATGCACTGGTTGGTTGAGAGGTTTTTTGGCATCTGGTTGAGTGAGAAGGGCTGTGCTTTGCTTGGACAACTCATTCAGGATACATGATGGCTGCTGGAGGGATCCGTGAGTGATGATGCTGTCAGGAGGCACATCCTAGACCCAATGTGGGCTGATTAGGAAGGGCTGCCCTTCACAGACACTGGTCCACCATCAGTAGTTCATGGCAAGGCTGACTCTGGAGAAGAGAGAATGCCTGCCATTTGTAGGATTATCATTTTAAATCAGGAAGCAGACTGATAGAAGGTAAGCTGCCAACCAATCATGACACAAAGTATTCTTTTTTGATTTGTTTCTTCTTGTTTGCAGTGGAAATGGGAGTCTCTCTCTTTGTTCTCTGTTACAATAGTTAAGGCAGTAGCTTTTGAGTTTTGTGGATTTTTAAAAATCGCCGCTGTTTGCTTGCATATTTGTTTTACCTTGTGGCTAAGATGGAAGGAGGTGACATTTTCTCTAAATTTGCATATTTAATCAACATTTCAGATTCCTTGCAGCAGACTGTTGCTCCCTTCTATCTATGGTTGCTATTGTTATTGTTGATACAGTTTAAAAGAGTTGAAAAAGTAGTTTTTAGCTTGGTGAGGTACTTTTCATTGAGAATTGAGGCCACAAGTGGCTATCATCTTGGAGCCTGTGGGGGAAATTCTTAAAATCAGGATTTCAGACTCTAAGGATAAATCTGCTTCCTTCTGTTATTTGTGTTTCTTGTCAAGTTTTTGGAAGAATTTCAGACTAACCTTTTTAATTCTGGAGATGGCTGGCTATGGGATTTGAAGACTGTGATTGAGTTAAGAGGATGGATGCTAGATAATAGTATTAGGAATGATGAGGTTTGGGGACTATATTGACATTTGGCTTCTGATTAGATTGGAAAAGGGGCAATTATAGTTGATGTGGCCATATTATATTTGATTGAATTAAAGTGTGGCTGGTTGGATTATCTAATTGAAAAAGGAGGTGGCCAAGCAATCTGATTTATGTTATATCTAATAAAGGTCATCATACAGGGAGCCTGGAGAGAAGAAGGTATTGGTAACTTTGTGTATCGGCGGGTGGTGGTGGCTGCTGGAGATTTTCTGTAGGAGATGACCTTGAAGCTGATCTTGAGGGCTGGCACCATGAAGAGCAGGGTTCTAGGAAGAGTACGTCCAAAAGAAACAGTTTATGAAAGGGCATCGTGTAGTCAGGAACACTGAAATGTTCCCAGTGACCGCCACGGGGTATGGAGCATTGGAAAATGAGTGGGTGGGTTTGGTGATTAGGGGCCTGGTAGGAAAAATTTAATATTCTAGTTTGACCTTAAAAGAGAGAGTTGGAGGAGATTTTCAAGAACAGGAGTGACATTATCAGGTTTATTTTTATTTCTTATGAGGATCACTAGATTGTGTATAGAAGATAGAAAAGAATGAGAATATACTGATGATGGGACACCTATGAGGAGGATTTCAGTGGGGAAGAAAAAAGCACAATTCCTGCATTAAGGCCAATGGTAGGAAAGGAGAGAAAAGGAAAATATATGAAAGATTTTTTTTTTTAAATTGTCTATGTGTGAAGGACAGTAGTCTAGGAAAACACCTGGGTTTCTTGTTTGGCAACTTTGGTGAGTGTAACACCACATTATTTTCTTCTTGGCATGTAGGTGCCATATTTGACTATCATAACATAAAAGGTTTCTTCTTGAGGTTGTGCCCACAGGCATCTGTGCTTTCAGGAGGGGCTAGCTGAAAGGCTGGCATAAAGTTCACAGCCCGTTTTTCTAAATGTAGTCCCATGAAACACTGGTTTTGAGAAATGTGAACAGCTACTCTGTATGCAGAAATGCTGAATAATCCAAAACTTTTGGGAAACATGAAATACTATACCCCTCTTGGAGAGTCATGGTGGAAACATATCAGAGACTCACAGTAAAGAGACTCTTCGAATTTAACTCAGAATTTCCCATAGTTACTTGAGGTGAGAACCCTTTTTTCACAGAACACATATTTTGGGGGATCTAACTAGACTGAATGCAGTCTTTATGTTATGAAATTTGGGACGGGGGCAGATTCGATTATCCAAGAATCACTGTGTTTGAATCAGAAGACAGAACTGTATCCAGCGGTGTGCTGATAAAGGTTTACCGACCAACCTGGGGGAGGCGGGGGAGGTAGGAGAGAGAAGAGGTGTTAGAGATACAGGAGGAAGCACGAAATAGTTATGCTGGGGAGCAAGACAGCAGACTCACCGATGGAGCATGATAGAATTACCAGACAGTTTTGAGTGCCCTTTGGAGGTTTGAGGTCATGAACTTAAAGTGAGATGAGCCCGCAACAGCAGTGCTATTTTCTCCAGCTGCCTGGGTTTAGGAGTTGAGAAGACAGGGGCTAGGTTTAACCAGGATGAGAGCTTTTCCAGGCAAGAATAACAGGAGGGAAAGGAGCATGAGAGATTGGGAATCTGTGCAACCTCTGGTGGGTAAGGAAGGAGCAAGCACAAGCGGGTGTGATGATAAGGGAGAGGTGCTGGGTCTTTGGATCGGAGGTCTTGAGCTATCAGAGGACAGTTGGAGTTGAGGTACGAGAGTAAGTAGTTTGAAAATAAAGGAGGTGACTGAGTTCCCATTTGGGAGATGGGGCACTTGCTGGTAGTGTAAGAACTAGGGTGTGTCATCAGAAGAGAGGAGGTCTAGGTGTCAGGTGGGTTCTGCTGATGACATCCAGGATTAGGATGGTTGGAGGATGGAGGGGGAAGGCATTTGAGCCAGGTGCTAATCCTCAAAGATTCAGGAGGACGGGAAATTATGGAGATGACAGTAATAGCTGGGATAGCATCACTGGGTTGCATGAGCTTCAAGGGACTGGGAGTTAAAAAAAGAAAATACAAGAAATGTTTTCGAAACCGCAAAGACATTCATTGCACTTTTAGACTTTTAGATGACGTAGATGCCAGAGGAAAACAACCTGTACTTTAGGGAGCTGCAGGGAGAAATGGTCTTCTCAGGGAACAGCAAGCTTCCAGTGTGAGACAAGAAGGTAAAAGGGAAGGTTCCCAGAGGTGGTTGAAGATTTAGAAGAGTTTGCTAATGAGGTGCTGCCTTCTAGAGGGAGGAGTGGCAGAGTTTAAGAGGGTGGGGATGATTGGATGAGACCCTGTCTGGAATTTATGGGGGTGAGGGTCCAGAGGATGATGGAGCTGTGGTGCCTCGGGCGGGTTGAGACTGGTCCCAAGGGAGGATGGTCAGCTCCAGTTGTGTCCAGTAAAATTAGGGGGAGGCCTCACTCTGGTTGGCTGAAACACCAAGAAGGCAGGTTTTTTTTACTTAGATCTCCTCTGCCTTCTCTAGTTCCCCAGATGTCCTGTTTTCCACAGCGAGCGGGGCTGTACCCACACTGCTTCTGAGTGCTTTAGCATGGGGCATAAGGCCGACTCAACAAACCCTCACCGCAGAAATTATTCTTAAGGGACAGCAACTAACATGGTCCTGCCTCACTCTTAACACATTAATGGGAACTTAGCTAACATTACCACCCTCTAGGAGAGTACGAAAAGGTGTTTCTGTCAGACTCTTCTCCCCTCGCTCCCTTGCATCCCCAAGAAATGCTCTGCATCTGATTGAGGGGACAGGTGCCTGCGCCCCCAGGGCCAGCATGGGCATTTTCCTCTCAGACTCTGCTTTCCACTGGCCAGCACACCCGAATCTGAGCCACGGCTGGCCTGCCTTCTTGGTGCCCGGGCTCTTGCATGTGTGTGCTTGACGGGGTACCTGGACAGATGAGGACACCTGGACAGGGAAGAGTTTGCTCTGTAAAACCACCCTCTCCACGTGCAGCTCTCAAAACCCAGCCTTGTACTGTCCCGTATGGGGGCTCCTAGTCACACACGGCTGTTTAGATTTAAATTAAATTAACTAAACTAAAATAAAAAGAGAGCACCTCGATGGCACCCTGCCACATTTCAAGGGCTCAGTAGCCTCATACGGCTACACACATCGGTCAGCACAGCTACAGAACATTTCCATCGTCTCAAGAAAGTTCTATTAGAATGCACCGCCACGAAGTATTCATTAAGCTGTTATTCTGGTTCCTTTCTAACTCAGGCGCTTTTCATTGCTGCAGAGTCCGGGAGCCAGCCCCGAAAGCCCCGGGCGTTGGGAAGGTCCTGGAAGCAGGCGTGTCTGCGCGTGCACCGAGCCGCAAGCATGGCTCAGTACAAGGGCACGATGCGCGAGGCCGGCCGGGCCATGCACCTGATCAAGCAGCGGGAAAAGCAGAAGGAGCAGATGGAGGTGCTGAAGCAGCGGATCGCCGAGGAGACCATCATCAAGTCGAAGGTGGACAAGAAATTCTCGGCTCATTACGACGCCGTGGAGGCCGAGCTGAAGTCGAGCACGGTGGGCCTGGTGACCCTGAACGACATGAAGGCCAAGCAGGAGGCCCTGCTGAAGGAGCGGGAGAGGCAGCTAGCCAAGAGGGAGCAGCTGGAGGAGCGGCGGCTGCAGCTGGAGGCGCTGCGGGAGAAGGAGCGCAAGCAGGAGCAGAAGCGCAAGATCTGCAGCCTGTCCTTCACGCTCGACGAGGGCGACGCGGGCGACGCGGACGCGGCGGCTGGGGAGCCGCCCAGGTCCGCGGGGCCGAGCAAGAGGAAGAAGAACCTGGGGAAGAATCCAGACGTGGACACGAGCTTCCTGCCCGACCGCGAGCGCGAGGAGGAGGAGAACAGGCTGCGTGAGCAGCTGCGGCAGGAGTGGGAGGCCAGGCGCGAGAAGGTGAAGCGCGAGGAGATGGAGGTCACGTTCAGCTACTGGGACGGCTCGGGGCACCGGCGCACGGTCCGCATCCACAAGGGCGGCACGGTGCAGCAGTTCCTGAAGAAGGCGCTGCAGGGGCTGCGCAAGGACTTCCGCGAGCTGCGGTCGGCCGGCGTGGAGCAGCTCATGTACATCAAGGAGGACCTGATCCTGCCCCACTACCACACCTTCTACGACTTCATCGTCACCAAGGCCCGGGGCAAGAGCGGGCCGCTCTTCAGCTTCGACGTGCACGACGACGTGCGGCTGCTGAGCGACGCCACCATGGAGAAGGACGAGTCGCACGCGGGCAAGGTGGTGCTGCGCAGCTGGTACGAGAAGAACAAGCACATCTTCCCCGCCAGCCGCTGGGAGCCCTACGACCCCGAGAAGAAGTGGGACAAGTACACGATCCGATGATCCCTGTGGCAACCCTGAGGCTCCCTGTCCTACCCCTCCCCGGTCCTGCAGAGCCCTGGCACGCGTCGCCTTCGCAGCCCCCTGGTGGCCTCCTGCCCACTCCAGGGCAGCGACAACCAGAATAGGAAACATTTCTGTACCCCGTAACTTAATTTCGTGACCTTAATTTCTTGCCCAAAATTGAATAAAGAACGGAGGGTTCACATTATTCAAGTGTGGTCGTTCTATTGCTGATATTATTTTGGGGTGTTTGGTTGTTTGGGGGGGTGGGTGGGTATTTTTAATGTTACTGTGTGGATTCATTATTAGGCTCTGTTTAGCTATATTGAAACCATCACTGGGCACACTGTGGGACAGAATGGGAATGAAGGGTGCATTTTTGACCTGGGTCACAGTGTTAAAGCAGGTAGTCACCAGCATGGACTTTGGAGCCAAACTGCCTGGGTTTGATTCTCAACTCAGCTTCTTCACTTGCTGTGTAATTTGGGACAGATTAATTGAACCTCTGTGCCTCAGTTCCCTCTCCTGTAAGTAGGGATAAGAATATCACCTCATAAAATCCATGTGATGATTAAATGAGTTAATATTTGTAAAGCACTTAGAACTCAATAAATATCGGCTATTGTTCTTCTTATGGTCGTGGTTAATTTATTTAAAGAACTTCTATGACCCATTTCAGAACCATGTGAGGGCAAAGGATGACCTGCCCATAACTTTCCCCAAGATCAGCGGAGGCGGAGGGGAGGTGGCTCACAAACTGGGGGAGCAGCCCCCTCTTGAGTGGTTCTTAGCTGGGTTGTTGAGCCCCAGGGGTTAGGAGTTGGTTAGTATAGCCTAGGGAAGGGATTACTGCTATGCCTTGTGCCTCAGGCTCCAATATGGCCCTGCACGGTGTTGTTAAAGATCTGGTCATTATTTAAAATTTTGATAATTTTATTCATTGTGGATTTCCTTGTGTTAATGTTGATTTTTTAAAATATTGTGTTGAATATTTATCTTAAGATTTAATTTTTTGAGAGACAGAGGGGGAGGGGCAGAGGGAGAGAGAGAGAGAATCCCAAGCAGGCTCCACACTCAGTGCAGAGTCCAACACAGGGCTCAGCTCATGACCTGAGCTGAAATCAAGAGTTGGAAGCTCAATTGACTGAGCCACCCAGGCACCCCTAAAATATTTATCTTAATTACTGAGTTTGGGGGTGTTTCCACCCCCTCCCCACACCCCATTTACCTTAATGCCCAAGGCAGATGCCTCACTCATCTTACCCCAGTCCCCGCTTGGAGGGTAGGAGGGACCCTTCTTTTCACAGAGTTCTTGCCTCAACCCATAAACAAGAATTCCACCAGAATGTTGGCCCTCTAGGGCAGTGGGTCCCAGCCTGGCCTGCCCATTAGGATCATCAGGGAAGCTTTTAAACCATCCAATTCCCGGTGACACTCAGAGCCAGGATCTCAGTGGGAGGCAGACATTAGCATGTTTTGAAGCTCTGCAGTATTCAGTGTGCAGTCAGGTTTGAGAACGAATGTGTTAAGATTGCCTTCTCTCTACCTCTTACTAAATCCTCTGCTGAGATTCCAGGCCATAAGCACACCTGGGTCAGAGCCCAGGACAGGCTGAGGACCACCAGAGTGGACTCTGGTTTATTTCAGTGGTGTGTCAAATGGTACCCAAAGTGTGATCCTTGGAGCGGCAGTGTCAGCACCTGGAAGCTTATTAGAAAGAATCAAAGGTCCCACTTCACACCCACTGAATCGGAATGTGTGGTCCAACAAGATCACCAGGTGATTCATATGCACACTAAGATTTAAGACTGCCAGACTGTGGCTGGCTACATGTCTGCTCTGTAATCTGCAGTTCTAACATGTTAACTCAAGACCTAGACTTAGAGGGTACTAATAAGTAGAACCCTGCATCTTTGGTTGTAGGTCCAAGCCACATTTTCTAATCCAGCTTTAATTTAAACGTTGATATGCTGACCACAGTCCAACTCCTGCATCTATTTCTTAATTGGCTTGGTGTTACTTAGATTTACCTTACTTTGTTCTACCATGCATGACAAAACCCCCAAGTAACAGTGGCTTAAGCAAGCCTATTTCTTTTCCTATGCAAGCCAAGAGATAAATTTGCGTAGCATCAGTCAAGGACCCAGGCTACTTCCATCTCTTCTCTTATCCAAGTGGCCTCCATACCCACAGTTACATCATAAGCCAAGATGGAAGCTCCAACTCCAGTTACCGCATCCACATCCCAAGAAACAGGAAGAAGGTAAAGGGAGAAAGGGAAGTCCTAAAGGCATAAAATGCCTATCTCTTAAGGATAACTGTAAACTGACAAACAATAATTTGGTTTAGATCCCTTTTGCCAGAACTTGGTTACTTGGCCACACCTTGCTACAGGGAAAGCTGGAAGATATAGTCTTTTTTTGTCAATTTTTAAATTTTTTTCATTTTTTCAGTTTGAGTACAGTTACAAAGTTATATCAGTTTCAGGTGTACAACGTAGTGATTCAACAATTCTAACGTTACTCAGTGCTCATCATGGTAAGTGCACTCATAATCGCCTTCGCCTATGTCACCCATCCCCCCCAACCATCTGTTTGTTCTCTATAGTGAAAAGTCTGTTTTTTTGGTTTGTCTCTTTTTTCTTGTTCATTTATTTCTTAAATTCCACATACAAGTGAAATCATAGGGTGTTTTTCTTTCTCTGACTGACCTATTTCACTTAGCATTATACCCCTTACATCCAACTATGTTGTTGCAAATGGCAAGATTTCATTCTTTTTCCTGACTAATATTCCATTATATATATATATATGGAACGTGTGTCTGTGTGTATATATGTACGTGGTATATGCACACACCACATCCTTTTTATCCATTCATCTATTGATGGACATGGGCTGCTTCCATAACTTGGCTAATGTAATGCTGCAATAAACACAGGGGTACATATATCTTTTTGAACTAGTGTTTTCATATTCTTTAGATAAATGCCCAGGAGTGCAATTATTGGATCATATGGTGATTCTGAGGAACCTCCATACTGTTCTCCACAATGGCTGCACCAGTTTGCATTCCCACCAACAGTGCACAAGTGTTCCTTTTTCTCCACATCCTCACCAACACCTGTTGTTTCTTGTGTTGTTGATTTAAGCCATTCTGACAGGTGTGAGGTGATACCTCATTGTGGTTTTGATTTGTATTTCCGATGATGAGTGATGTTGATATTTTTTCATGTGTCTGTTGGCCATCTGGATGTCTTCTTGGAAGAAATGTCTGTTCATGTCTTCTGCCCATTTTTAAATTGGATTATTTGTTTTTTTCTGCTGCTGAGCTGTATGGGAGATGTAGTCTTGAGTTGAACTGCATCCTTACTGAATTTCTGCCTTCTGTGTCTGTCCATTTCTGATAAAGAGTTGTATAAGTCTCCGGCTATGATAGTGACCTAAGCATGATAACCACTACCTATGGAAACTTAATTCCAACTATGATAGTGGATTCATCTATCCTTGCAATTCTCTCAGTTTTTGCCGCACCTACTTTGATGCTCTTTGTTAGGAGCATGCATGTTAAGGATTGTTATGTCTTCCTGAAGAATTGACATTTTGTCATTATGTAATGCCTTTCTTTATCCCTGATAGTGTTCATTGCTTTGGAATCTGCTCTGTCTGAAATTAATGTAGCTACTCCTTTCTTTTGAATAGAATGGTATATTTTTTTCTCCATCCCTTTACTTTAAATCTATATGTCAATATTTAATGTGGGTTTCTTGTAGACAATGTAGAGTTGGGTCATTTTTTTTTATGATTTTATTTATTTGAGAGAGAGAGCAAGAGAGAACACAAACGGTGGGGAGGGGCAGAGGGAGAAACAGACTCCCCGCTGAGCCTGATGCAGGGCTCTACCCCAGGACTCTGAGATCATGACCTGAGCCGAAGGCAGACACTTAACCGACTGAGCCACCCAGGCACCCTGGGTCATTTTTTTTTTTTTTTTGATCTACTCTGACAATCTCTTTTATTGTTGCATTAGGACCACTGATGTTCAAACTGATTATTGATATGGTTGGATGAATGCCTACATATCTGTTGCCTCTATTTTTGTCTTCCACTCTTTTTCTGCTTTTTATGGTTTTAACTGAGCATTTTATATAATTCTATTTTCTCTCCTTTCTTGGCATATCAGTTATAGTTTTTTAAAAAAACTTGTCTTAGTGGTTGCCCAGAGTTTGCAATATACATTTACAGCTAATACGAGTCCACTTTCAAATAAAGTTGTATTGCTTCACAGGCAGTGTAGGTACCTTATAATAAAAAAGTAATCCCAGTTCCCCCCTCCAGGATCCTGTATCATTGTTGCCATTCATGTAACTTACATAGAAGCATATGTAAGCATATATATATACATAAGTATGTATGATCAAATACATGGTTGCTATTATTTTGAACAAACTGTTATCTGTTAGATCAATTAAGATTAAGAAAAACAAAATATTTAATTTTACCTTCACTTATTCCTTCAACACTCTTCCTTTATGTAGATCTGAGTTTCTGTCCTATAGCATTTACCTTCTCTCTAAAGAACTTCTTTTAACATATCTTACAAGGCAGGTCTACTGGGGGAAAAAAATCCTTCAATTTTTGTTTGTCTGAGAAAATCTTTATTTCTCCTTCATTTTTGAAGGATAATTTTGCAGGTTACAGAACTGTAGGGTGGTGTGGGTTTTGTTTTGTTTTGTTTTTTTTCTCTCAACATTTTAAACATTTCACTCCACTCTCTTCTTGACTGCAGGCTTTCTGAGAAGTAAGATATAATTCTCTGTTCCTCTATAGATGAGTTTTTTTCCCTTTGGCTCATTTTGGGATTTTTTTTCCTTTATCTTTGATTTTCTGTATTTTAAAAATGATACACCTAGGGTATATATATGTATATATATATATATAAGCATTTATCCTTCTTGGTGTTCTTTGAGGTTTCTAGATCTGTTGTTTGGTGTCTGACAT